TATATATATTTGTATGTCGTAGGAGTTGTTCTCTTCCACGTATCGTCGTATCGAGTCTGAAAAAGATTTCTAAGCAGCACGTGCGCGCTATATGTACTTACGTCCATCGTCATCTCGTACTTAGGATAGCTACATTTATATATACGTGTATATATATATATATATATATATATATATATATATATACAACACACACACATATATATATATATATATATATATACATATATGGTGTTTTGTCGTCGCGAGAATTCTCGGTAAAATGGCAATAGCAGCATAAGAAGGAATTGTAGTCGTTATTTCTTTTCTAATTCTCTATTCCACTTTTAACGTTCCTCTTAAATGTATCATACAAATTGATAAAACTATTGCGATATAATAATTCTCGATAACTAGAAACGTTAATATTCGATTCGAACGAACGTTCAACAAAATCTCGTCGACATTTTGAAGCGGTTAATTTGAATTTTTCTAATTAGACGATTGCGAATATTATTATTATTATTATTATTATTATTATTATTATTATTATTATTATAAAAAACAAAAAGGATGACAAATGTATATATATATATAAAAAAGAAAAAAAAGAAAAAACATTTGGTACTTACTCTTAGATATAGGAGACGTGGTCCCAGATTCCTGTTTCGTAGTTATCAACCTCGCTACGACATTGTTCTCGTTCTCGAAGAAGGCTGCGACTTGTTTGCAATCGGTTTCATTTTTCGAATGGTCGAGGGAACGCGGTAAACGCGATAGAACGGCGTCGACGCAACCGCCAAATAGAATCCCAAAGAGGAGGAAGAGAATAAGCGATGCCGGTGATGATGCACGCCCTACGTCCTGCCTCCTCACCGTTATTATTTTCATTTTGCCAAAATGGCACCGCGACGCGCGCGCGGCTCGCTTAGACTTACCGGAGAAAGAGAGAGAGAGAAAGATATATATATATGTATATATGTATATGTATTAATCGAATGTGAATAAGATATGCGATTAATTCGCCAACAAGATTCCTTCCTTCTCTTTTTCTTTCTTATTTTCTTGTCGTACGTTCACCTTCTTCTTCTTCTTCTTTTTCTTCTTTTTCGTTGTCGTCCTTTTCTTCGACTTTTTTCTCACAAAGATCTTCTTCTTCCTCTCTTACCGCGTTGTCAAGCGACGACGATGAACTCGCTAATACGTCGGCGAGTACGAAAAGGTCCACGTTCGTTATGAGAACGACCATCCAAAGTCGTATCCGACGACAACATTTGGATTATCGTAAAAGACACCGTGTCGCGATATTAGTACTCCACATGCACGCGCGTTCACGCACCGGAGCCGCGAGCCGACGACCTCGGCCACTGCCGGCCGCCAATAGTCGTGATATATACGACGAAACGTGCTTTAAAATACGTCGAACTTGATTTATGAGAAGGTGGAATTCCTTCAAAAAAGAACACGAGCTCTTTCTTATTGTTATTTATTATTAATAATCTCTTTTATGATGTTATAAACGTATAACGGGAATCACCAATTTAAGAGAATACCCGGGATCAAAATCGCGGTATACACTTAAGTAAAGAGAGAAAAAAGAGACGCACGCACACCCGCACGCATGCATGCACGGGGACGCGATACGCGTCTCGCGGATCGCTCGATGCGACTGAACCACCGTGCCGAGAGCGTCCCGTGCCGAGAGCGCGCCGCCGAACCGAACTAATACGAATTTATCCGAATTATTCCGAATCGCTTACGTATACACTGCGCCGTCTATCGTTCTAAGCCCTGAATTAATGTCATTTGAATTACCGGCAATGACGATCGTATGTTAAAATAATACAAAATTTATTTCTTTTTTACGTTACAATCAATATGTTTATAAACAAAGGATAACAATCTGTTATATACGTAAAATCCGACATGATATTATATGATATGATTTGACATAGGATAGGATAAAGGATGTGTTTCTGTGTGTGTATGTGTGTGTGTATATATATATACGTATCGAATTAATCTTTTTGAATGAACGTTATCTGTCTTCTCGTTTGATTCACTTGCCAAACATCTAATCTCTCGTATTCTTCTATACATTCGTCCACTTGATCAGGTTTAAATCCTTTACTCGTACATCGTTCCAATATGTCCGACACTTTCACCGTTTTATTACCACTGGCTAATTCCAAAATAAGGTAATAAATTCTGTCAATAGGATTTCTTTGAGCATTACTCGGTTTGGCTTCTGAATAATTGATTGAATGCTTTGACATTTCGACTAATCTATTTGCCTCGGCAACGTCTTCTTTTTCGACAACGTTCGCTAATCTGAGACGCGCCAATGCCGTTGCCAATCTTAGAACTCCCAATAAATTACGAGCAGACGTGAAAGTTTTATCGGCACTATTACGCGATTCTCTTCTCATTTCCACATAAGAATCTACGATGATGATGATAATAATAAAAAGAAACTTTTGACATACTTGTAATTTAATAAATTATATCTTAAATAATATTTTCTAATATCTTACCGACGATATATTCCGATAAATCTTCCGGAATGGAAGGTTCTTTTATTTTACATAAATTAATATATTTGCGTATTAAATTCATATCCAATGCTTCAGTTTCGGTAGGTGGTTGAGAACAATGTTGATGAACATATGTTATATGCTGTGCCATCCTATAATATATAACGTATATATCTGATTATCTATCGATCTAATGAATTTAGAAATAATAACTATAAGAAACGATTCTTGAAATATTTACTTCAAATCGTTACTTCTATCCGCACGATCCTGAATGAGCCACAATAAATCGAATCTCGATAATAAAGCAGCCGGAAGCTGAATATTTTGTTCGATCGTTCTTTTAGGATTATATCTTCCATAAGCGGGATTAGCCGCTGCTAAAATAGAAACTCTAGCGTTTAAACGCGTCATGATTCCGGCTTTGGCGATCGATATAGTTTGTTGTTCCATTACTTCGTGTATAGCGGTTCTATCCGCATCTGCCATTTTATCAAATTCGTCTATGCAACAAACTCCTTGATCGGCTAATACCAATGCTCCACCCTCGAGTATCATTTGTCCGGTCAAAGGATCTTTCATTACGGCTGCAGTTAAACCAACACCGGAGGATCCTCTTCCTGTAGTATATTGCGATCTTGGTGCTAAACGCGTTATGAATGAAAGTAATTGAGATTTAGCAACACCTGGATCACCCATCAAACAAACATTTATATTTCCTGTATAAAATAAAAAAAAAAAAATTTATTATCGTCTTTATTATAAATTATTCATTAACATAATGTAATATTTACCTCTGATCTTGATGTCACCCTTCTTCTTATCCGTACCACCAACGAGAAGTAACAATAATGCTTTCTTAACGTCTTCCAATCCATAAATTTCTGGTGCCAATGATATTGCCAACTTACTATAAAAATCATCTTGCGATAATAAGGCTAATTCTTCCTCCGTTAATTGTGCACTACTGTCATCTACGATTTGTGAATTTGTGCAACAAACGATCCTCTAAAATATATATGTATATATATATATTTATATCATTATCTTTCGAGTTCAGGAAAAAAAAAAAGAAAGTAAGATTTATCGAACGAATCATGAATTTTCATACATGTGCATCCAAATAAGTATCGCTTAAAAGTGCAGAGCCACCTCTTGGGTTAAAACCAGTTTTCATTAAAGGTAAAAAGATTCCGGTAATGGTTACATGATCTCCTGGTAAGCATTGTCGTGTAGTTTCTCCTCTGCAAAAAATCGTTACTGATCTAGGAATATGACCAACTGGAACTTGATCGCTCTGAAATAAATTTAACATATTTAATCATTGTTATGAATAATTTATATTATTATAAAAAAATGTCTTACATGTTCTTGGAGCTTAAGTTCTTGAAATTTAATAAATTTTGATCCTTTTGTTTGTATATACAATCTGCCACCTGCCTTATTAACACGACAATCATCACTGGGACATGTTCTTAATGGCATAAAAGTAAGTGATTGTACCTAAAATTATTTCATCAATATATATTATTAACAATATTAAAATATTTGTATAAATTGTTAGAAAATTTCCTTTAATACCGGTTGATATGTTTCTGCGCCACATTGGTCGCATGTATAAGTAGCAACAACCATCATGGGCTTTACTTCGGTGGATCTAGTTACAATGCCTCTAACAGTAACCAATTTTCCTATCTTTTCTGCTTTTATTTCTCTAACAGAAAATGCTTTTGCATCACTGAAATCTTTGATATATATTTCACTGTAATAATGTAAAAATATTATTAACATTTTTTAAGTCATAAATTAAGAATCTAACGTTCATAAAAAAAAAAAAAGCAATATTTTACAACTTACAAACGTCGCATAAGTTCTGGAGCATATTTGTTTCTAGGATCTCTTTGATCACCGGGATGTCTATTACGTGCTTCCATTAATAATCGATGTTCAATGTATACGTCCAATGCATCTTTAGGAGGTACAGGTTTCTCTTTAAACTCTGGTAAGATTTCTTGCACAAGCTTGAAAAAACAGGATTGTTAGATTATTTTATAAAATACAAAGATCATAGAGTATGCATATACCTCTAACAACAAGTTAATGTATCTTCTAGTATTATTAGCAATAGCTGCAGCCAATTCATCATCAAACTCTTGTATGTCATCTAATTCGATAATAAGAGCTATTTGTTCACGATGAGCAAGTTTAGTAAGCTGTTGTCTATACTTGAATGTTTTGTCACCAGTTTTATCATCCATAACCATGAATTCTGTTAAAAATGTCTTGAGTTGTTCTATAGCAATACATGTCATATTAGTATGCATATAAATATAGTTAATACAACATTCTTATAATGTGTATATGTTTATAATAAAATATAATCTTCATATATATATACATATATACATCTATGGTTAGAAATTAATTAATATTTATGATAATTGCAGATTTACCTTTATCTTTAATATAATCTCTCGATGCTTTTTTCGGTGCCATTGTTTAAAAGATATAAATAAAAATACAGTATCTTTGCTTATTATATCAACACAATTTTTTTTATAAATTAAAACAAACATAAACTAACTCTCGTTGATTCCCGCCTAAATTTCACCGGATATTTCTTACGACACGTTATTATAAGGTCACGTGACATCTCGCCATGCCAGTCGATAGGTAGTCACGTGACGTCTCTATGCCAATCAATAGGTAGTCACGTGATTACCTCTTTGCCAATCGGTAGGTGGTCACGTGGTAGGGCATATCTAACCTCGTCTACACAAGATCATATGCGTGTTTCACTTAATCTTATATGTTCTGATTAAATAGAATTATGGGGAAAGCAAAGAAAATTAAAGTATCTGCAGGAGAGAAAAGAAAAACGAAAGTAGGTTTAGCAGATCAAATAGAAGCGGAAAAATCTGTTACAGCGAAAAATAGACAAAAGATTAGACATCGCAATGACGACGACGAAGAGGTTAGTTTGTATTTAATTACTTGTTACTTGAAAATATTAATTACGTACGAACGCGTAAGATGAAAATTATTTTGTTATCTTTCAGTATGTCGATCCTACACTTACAAAAAAGATATTACTCCAAGCAAGACGACAACAAATGGAAATGGAAGAAGAGAATGAAGAAGGTCGTGTTTCAAGTTCTGTAAAAAAGCCATTGACGAAACTTGGAATTGAATTTAGTGATAATGAAGATGAGTCCAGTGAAGATGATTTACAAGGGACACATTATTATGAAAACATAGAGATTAGTGAAGAAGACGAACGTGCATTAGAAAAGTTTATGACTAAAGATCCGGTACCGATGAGAACATTAGCTGATATTATAATGGAAAAATTAACGGAGAAAAAAACAGAGATAGAAACACAATTTTCCGATGCAGGTACCATGCAAATGCAGGAATTAGATCCAAGAGTTAAAGTAATGTATCAGGGAGTTAGAGACGTATTATCTAAATATCGTAGCGGCAAATTGCCAAAGGCTTTTAAAATTATTCCGAGTTTAAGAAATTGGGAACAGATTCTTTATATCACAGAACCATCAAAATGGTCTGCTGCGGCTATGTACCAAGCTACAAGAATATTTGCCTCTAATCTTAAAGATAAAATGGCCCAAAGATTTTATAATCTTGTTCTATTACCACGTATTAGGGATGATCTGGCAGAATATAAGAGACTCAATTTTCATTTATATCAAGCATTAAGAAAAGCTTTGTTTAAGCCTGCTGGCTTTATGAAAGGAATTTTACTTCCACTTTTAGAATCCGGTACATGTACGCTTAGAGAAGCTGTTATTATCGGTTCGGTAATAGGAAAAAATTCTATTCCAATTTTACATTCGTCTGCAGCTATATTAAAAATTGCAGAAATGGACTATACTGGTGCAAATAGTATATTTCTGAGAATATTTTTAGACAAAAAATATGCACTTCCATATAGGGTAATAGATGGTGTTGTCTTTCACTTCTTAAGGTAAATTATTATTAAATTATATATTAAATAAATAATAGAGAATTATTCAATCTCAGATAATTATATAGAATATATAATAATAACATATTTCAGATTTGAAAGGGATACAAGAGAATTGCCAGTACTATGGCATCAAGCTTTCTTAACCTTTGTACAACGTTACAAAAGTGATATAAGTTCAGAACAAAAAGAAGCTTTGTTGAAATTATTAAAGAAACAGTCACATCATGTTATTACACATGAAATACGAAGAGAACTACAAAATGCAAAATGTAGAGATATAGAAATGACTGAGCCTACAATAGAACCTGTGAATGAGCCTCAAACAGAACCCATGTCATGTCAGGATTAACTTAGCTTCATCAGTAATTAAATATAATAAAAAAAAAATATGTATAAAAATATTTTTATATAATGAAGTTTATAAATAATATTACTTTTATTATTATTTATTTTTAATTATTTTGAAATTTAATTAAATAAGTTATATTAAATACTTATAAATATATCTTTAATTTCTTTTAAGAACATTTATTATCTCGAAAAATTTTAAGTTTCGTGATACTATGTTGAAAATAATATATATTTAAGTCTTTAGAGATGTAAAATATATACAAAATCCATTAGACTCGACAAATATAAAAAAGAGCTTACAAAATTTTTGATTTTTCTCTGGTATAATGAGTTTTTATGAAATGTCATTGAGAAATGATTATTACATGCTATAGATTAAAAGATGTTTTTAATTCATAATTGGTATTTGTTGATTACAGAGCCTATACATTTGGAAGGAGTTATATAAAGATATTGCTTTGTCTTGCAATATATATATATATATAATATATATATATATATCATTATAAATAATTTTAATATAAAACAATCTTGAAATCACAATATGTTTTTTCATCCTGTCATTTTAAAACATTACATATCATTTACATTATATTATAAAAACAAGATTTTTTATAAGATTACTAACAATATTTTTACAAGCAGTCTTCAACAAGTTAAAATACAGATATTTAACTATTGATAAAAAGACAACATTACAGTAAAGTAATTAAGACTGCACATACATATTGTAAAATCATATAACATTCTGACATAGCAGTTTTTTTAGGAATAACTTTTACAGGAATGCAAGTACTCCATTATAACCTATTAATACAGTCTCCAATTATTTATAATTTCTAACTTAGTAAAATTCATTTTTTTTTAAAAAAGCTAGTAATATTTTTAGATCCAACTGCTGCTTTTTGCCTAGCAAGCTCCTTTTTATTTAATGTTGGAGCTTTCTGAGGCTAAAATATAAATGATAAATTAAGTATATATATTAATATATAAAAATTTATTTTTGTCAATAGCATACCTTTTCAGGTTTTGACAGATCCAAAGCTTTGGTACGTGGAGTTAAATCTTCATCAGAAGTATCTCTCTTGAATTTCTTCTCATCGGTTACTTGCTTAGGATTACTCAATTTACGTTTTCTTTCTACTTCCTCTGGTATATTTAAATACTGTAATAATTTTTTTGCTATATCATCAGCCAAATATTCAGATACTATACCATGTGCATACTTCAAATATTCTGAAATATATATATATATATACATATATATTATAAAAATTTAATTAAATTTATATATGAATTTATTTACTTTTTTCTTTTTTGTCTTTTCTTCTTGCTTTATTCATTTCGAATTTGAAGAAAATTAATTACTTACCTAGTTCAGTACCACTTTCATATTTAGTACTTTTAACGTATGTAGCACTTATAGCTCCCTGTGATACATGAATGCTCTTCTGTTTTAAAACTTCAGCTACTCTTTCTACTTTCTTTTTCAACCAGTTTAATGTTTTTTCTTCGTTGTATTTGAAAGCTTGAAGAGATTCATCACCCTTTCGATCTGCAACTAATGATAACTTCAAATTTTGGCAATGAGCTAAGCGAGGTGTTTCTGGATAATCTTCATCCCATAAACATTGATCAAGAGGCTGTATTTGCGGCGACTAGAATAACATACGTAATAATTAATAATTAATATTCATATTTATTTTTTTTCTACACATTTCTAATTCACATAATAAAATTACCTTTCTTAGATATGGCAAAACTAAAAAGATTGGATCAATTGGAGTTGAAAGATGCATTTTACCATCAGACTTAACATTATCATCTATAAACCATGATCTTCTGTTTTCGTCGAATGCTAGAACTTCTTGTACCATAAGATCACCAGGACTAAAGACAAACATAGCTGGCTGATTCGACGCTGGATGTCTAAGTTTAACTACGTTTGGTAAATTTCCATCTTTTCCCTCTAAACCATCTCCTAAATGAAATGATAGATTATGAAATCTTATTTTAATTTTATTACTATAGATTGAACAGATTCAATTTAATAACAACATTAAATAGACAAGAAATATGATACTTCTTCTTTCACTAACCTTTCATAAGAAAGACCCAAGTGTTCGTTGCAGGATTTAAATTACCAGTTTTGACACATTTTTTAGGCGATGCTTTTATACGCGGCATGATCGTATTGATAGACGATTTCTTTTTTTTTATTTTAGGTTAAATATTTTCCTTCGAATAAATTTTATTACTTGTAGTATTATTATTTGTAAACTAATCATCAAAAGAAAAATTCAATGGTTAGCCATTTTTGACAATTAAACAGGGCGTTAACTCTTTATCGTTCGGTGTTATATTTAATTTCAATTCAATGTCACTTCTTGTGAGAAAACTCAGTACACGAGACATTTCGTTGGGATTAACGTAAGGAACATTTGAAATTCCGACGCGCGGTCGGATGTGTTACAGAAGATCTACGATCAGAGAAGTAGTGGCGCGTTATTGTGCCATGTTTCAAATTGTAATCCTTATATCGAACTCTAGCGTAGAAAACGTTAACTAAATAATATCCTTTTCTGGTGATATTTTTGATAAATATTTTATCATATTGCAAGATATAAGTCAACGAAAAGAAGAAAAAATAATTATAATATTTTTCAAATATTTCATAAAAAAAAAATATATATATATATATACATATATATAATCATCGGTATATGAAGTGATACTTTTCGTCAATGAAATACTTTTAAGAAAATTTCTAAAGATTATTGACCAATCAGATATTTATGATTTTGACTAGTTTTCAAGTAAAAAATTCGTAAATCGAAGTTCGAATAATTTAATACGACGTAACCAAAAAAAATTCTAAAGTAAAGATGTCGCTGTTGTTAAGGGAACATTAAACATCCGCCATTTATTTCCGCGAAATTTGAATTTTCAATATAATATTTGGTATCATTAAGTGCTTGATTTCACTTTTTTTTTCCTTGTCTTTTTTTTTCTCTGGATACATAATATTAGAAAAAGAAAAGAAAAAAAAAAAGATTCGAATTTATGTCTTTTCATATTATATATAATGAATGACCTTATATGTCGTTTACTATATACGATTAAATTATCGAAGAACCTCGATCGTATGAATGGAACACATTCGATCCCATTTACTACTTTAAATGGTAAATATTTGAGTTCTCGTTAATACAGTATGTGGACGTCACTGATGACATTTTACTTTAAGAGAGCTACCTACGGAAATCCAATATCGAGAGTAATCGCGTGCGATCGAGCAGGTCGACCTAAATACCACGTCATTTGGATCAGAATAGAGACGCGTTACATATACACACACACATACACACACATATACACACACACATATATATATATATATATGTAAGCGCAAGTATCGTACGATACGATGTCACTGCAAGAATGATTCTCGTAACCTGGAATATTTATCGCAAACATATACATATACATATATGTTTATATATATATATAACATATATATTGTATGTTTATATACACATATATTTCATATATATGAAATTATATATATATTTCATGAAAATATATATATAAATATATGAAAATATATATATATATGCAAAAATCCTTGCAGTTTTTCTTAAATATTTATTTATTTATTTATTTATTTATTTATTTATTTATTTATTTATTTATTTATTTATTTATTAATTTATTTATTTATTAAAAAAAATCACAGAGCAACCTGTGAGGTAGGAGACATTATTTTTAATTTGTAGTTCACGTGGCTCTTGTTTTTCATCATTTATCTTTTTCTTTTCTTTTCTTTTCTTTTCTTTTCTTTTTTTTTTCTTTTGTATTTTATCTACAATAAATAACATTGAAAAACGCTAATAATAAATTTACCTCACTTTAATGATAAATGTACGAAATATTTTGTAAGAGAGCGACGTGAATTGGGAACAAATCTGTAGAGAGAAATTTTCATTAGTGGAAGTGATGAAGTTTTATTTACAAATCAAGGCATTATCGTTAATCTTGTTTACATGCATACATATATCTTTCACTCTGGTTTTTTCTTTTTTACTTCTTTTTTTATTATTATTATTATTATTATTTTCCATCTCGCGCATTCTCACTTTCTTTTTTTTACCCCACTTTCATCGCTACCCTTACACACACACACACACACAAACATACACACACCACACAAATAACACACTCACACAATTACATTCTCATTCTCTCCCTCTCTCTCTCTCTCTCTCTCTCTCTCTCTCTCTCTCTCTCTCTCTCTCTCTCTCTCTCTCTCTCCTCTCTCTCTCTCTCTCTCTCTCTCTCTCTCTCTCTCTCTCTCTCTCTCTCTCTCTCTCTCTCTCTCTCTCTCTCTCTCTCTCTCTCTCTCTCTCTCTCTCTCTCTCTCTCTCTCTCTCTCTCTCTCTCTTACTGGCATTCAATATCCGCATGTGTCTGTATGTATATATACGTATCCTGTGTATGTATGTGTATTTGTGTGTATACGTGTATACATAATATATATATATATATATATATATATTTGTTTATATTTATATATATTTATCTTTTTCTCACTCTTTCCACGTTTAACACAACGCTTCAATTACGTTTAAAAATTCCTTGTTGTTGTTCTTTTTCTTTTCATTTTTTTCTTATCTTTTTTTTTGACAATTTTGTACAGTACATATATATATATATATATAATTGTAATATATTTAAAGGCGCAAAAAAGCGTAAGCGCCATATTCGAAGACCGTGTGTGTACGTGTGTGTATGTGTGTGTATGTGTATGTGTATGCGTATCATTGCGATTTTTCTTACGAAAAGTATTTCAGCGTTATATAAAAAGTTACGAATTTATTAATTAAACGGGCTCAAGACCCATGCACGGCTTTCCCCCGTTGCAATTTATTCTTCTTCTTCTTCTTCTTCTTTCTTTTTTTTCTTTTTTTCTTTTTATTATTTTATTTATTTATTTATTTATTTTTAATTTTTTTCTTCTAAACACATGCACCCGGCCACACCACACCACACCACAGCACACCACAGCACACCACATCACACCATCACAAGCGCACACGTATCTCCCGTTCATTTTTCGTTTCTTTTCTTTTTATAATCTGCTCCACCTTCTCCTCTTTCTCCTTCTTTCTCCTTCTTTTTTAATCCTTTTTACAATGTTATCGATTCGTTTATTAACACACGTTTACACACACAAAAGCGTGTACCTTCTCGAAATAACACGCTTTAGAACGGAGAAAAGTATTGGTTTTAATCCCTTTTACAATTTCTCTCTTCTTCTCTTTCATTCTCTCAAACAATCTAACAATACGTTTTACATAAAGCAACAATTTTTGTTACGGTTGTTCTCTTTTATTTCTTTCTTTCTTTTTCTTTTTTTTTTTCTTTCATTCCTTTTTCTTTCTTTATCTTTTCGTTGATACGAAGAAGAAAAAAAAAAATAAACAACGACAAATCTGAAACATTCCATTCCATTAGTGCGAATGACGAATAAATTATTGAATTATTTGCGTTTGATTGTTGTATGACGTCGTCGCGAGAAGAATGTGTACATGGAAAAAAAAAAAAAAAATATATATATATATACATGTACATATATATTCTTCATACGT